ATTCGATGTAGTGTCTTGAGACTCCTTTTTTTCCAACACCCACTAAGTCAAATCTCAAGGTACTCTATTATAAGATTTTTCTGTATCAATAAAGACCATGTGGATGCCTTTTCCTTTCGCCATAAACTTCACAATCAATTACATAAGTAGAAAAATATCCCATGTTTTTGACCTCCCTGGCATAAAACTGAATTATATTTCCAACATTTAGTCATTGCTTAATCAATTTCTTCCATAGCTTCATAGTGTTGCTTATAAGTTTGATATGTCGATAGTTCGCACAATTTTGTATGTCTTATTTGTTCTTGTAAATACGTACCACAATACTATTCCTCCATTCGTTTGACACTTTATTTATTCTTTACACCTTATTGAACAATTTAGTCAGCCAATCATTGCCAATCTCCCACATGCACTTCCAAACATCTATTGGGATTCCATCTGATCCTAAAGCCTTTCTTATCTACATCATTTTCAAAGCTTCTATCACTTTGATATCCTAATCCTATAAATGTATTTATGACCTCCGCCCTCATTTATGCCAATGGTTCTTTCTACTATTGTGTTTCTATTGTGTTCATCATTTAATAATTTCTTAAATAAGCTCTCCATCTTTTGTTGACTTCTTCATCCTTCACCAAGATCATTTGATCTCACTTTTAATTCTTTTAATATAGTATAGATCTCTGCACTTTTTCTCTCTCATTTTTGCTAATTTGAAGACATCTTTTTTACTTTTTCTTGTTCCCAGTTTACTGTATCAATTATCATAATTCTTAAGTTTCGTCTTACTTACTATTCGTTTAGCATTTTTTTTAACATTTACATTCTTCTAAGTTTTGATCATTTCTATTACACTGTTAAGTTTTTATAACATGATTGCTTTTCACTAATAGCCTTCTGAACCTTATTACTCCACCGCCACGTTTCCTTATCGAAATTTCTTTTTCCTATAGATTCTCTTAAAATTTATTTTGCCACTGTTTCAATACAGTCAGGCATCTTATTTCACATAACATTGACCTCTTGTTCAGAGTTTCATTTTCTTTCGTTAACTAATTTATCCCTAAATAAGTATACTTTCTCATTTTTAAATTCCACCCATTGTTATCAAAATCTCCTGAGCTAACCGCTAACCGCCCGGTTAGATTGGAACTGGTCAGTTGCCGGTTCCAATTTTGGGCGGTTAGGGTGATCAACTGGTATTTTTAAAAAAAAATTCAAAAAAATGCATATAAATTCTTTAAAATAAGGAATTTGATTTGTAATACATTTTTAAATAATCTTTATATTATAGTGAAGATTAAAATTTGTTTTGGTCATTAATACTCACTGTTATATTTTCCCATGTTTTTTGTAGAAAATTTTAAAACTAGCCCTTGGAAAATATAAAATAGGTTAAAATCTATTTTTTAAATTACTTTTCAACTTCATTTGAATATGTTTTGTTTTAATCATCCTTTATATGCTTTTCATATTTTAGTAGATGTTTTTTTTTTTTTAATGCTTTTTTTACTGCCCGGGATTTGCTCTGTTACAGCGGTTGAATAGGTTGGTTTACCGGTTAGGTCGGTTAAACCAGTTCCAGGCTCATGTCCAGTTAACCATTCCGGTTCGATTTTGTGAACACTGATTCCACTGCCTAGTTCTTGGACACTTATTAATTTCACCCCTTCTCTTCCATGTCTTTGTGTAAACGTCCATAACCATGAGCATATGTTGGGTAGTCAAACTCTCTCCTGGGATAACCTTGCAGTCTTTATATGATGGTCGACCTACCTTCTTAACTAGGAAGAATTCTATCTGGCTGTTATGTAATCTACTTTTATAGGTTATTAAATGTTTATCTTGCTTTTTAAAGTAATTGTTTGATATTTCTAAGTCGTAGGCCATAGCAAAATCTAAAATAGCCTCACCTATCTCATTTCTTTCACCAAATCCATATCTCTCATGTACCCCTTCATATCCTCTACTATCCTACCCTATATGACTATTTAAATCCCCTTCTAAAAAAGTCCTTTCTCTATTTGGTATGTCTATGACCTCCCAAAATTGTCTTTTAATTCTATCATCTAATCCTACTTGTGGTGCATAAGTACTAATTATATTAATTATCTCTTCCTCTAATACAACTTTAAAAGATAACTACTTTATCTTTTAAATCTTTGTATATTATTATGTCTATATTATTTCTTTTACTATCCTTTCATGTATAGCAAAGTTTATACCCATCTATTAATACATAACAGTATAGTGTTTTATTTAAACATTATGCGTAATGGTGGCAATTGATAAAAAAAATCTCTTTATCACTTTAACTCACCATCACTGCATTTGAAGTAAAAATGAGGTTCCCGAAAAAGATAAAGAAATAGTCTCGTGCAGTTTGTTGATCCTCTCAAGTAGTAGGTCTTCAGCGAGGAAGTGGTAGTGTTCTCAAGGGAGCACAATATACATGCTAGAAAAAGAGGTCTCATAGTAATAGTTTATAATTATTTCGAAATTGCAAAAGTTTCTTCCCCTTTTGATTCTTTTTTTTTTTTTGGGGTAATTCAGTAGTGGTGATGACAAGCCCCTGCCGTTTTTGAAATAGTTAGTCGTTTAGGAAGCTATCTGGGGAATAGAAGCTACAACGTGCAATTGAAGTATGGGGTGTGCTACTAGTGGCATCCCTTCTTCTCTTTGAAAGACCTCCCTTACACCACACC